CGCTTCGTGAACACTTCGGTCTAAACAACCGCCCAAACGAAACAACCATCGGTCGTCTGGTGCGTGAATTCGAGGCAACAGGTTCTGTGGCAAATCTGCCAGGCTCTGGCCGGCCAAGGAGCGTTCGCACACCGGATTTGAATGTACACGCCTACAAGATCCAATTGACGCAAGAGCTGCGTCGGGCCGACCATTTTTCGCGCTGAACGTTCTCAGATTGGCTCCTTGAACACCGCCAAATTGATGCCATTTTTTCATCAAAAATCATGTTCAGCGACGAAGCGCATTTCACTTTGAATGGGACGGTAAACAAGCAAAACTGTCGCATCTGGGCGAACGAAAATCTCCGTGAGTATCAAGAGCAGCCGATGCATCCTCAAAAAGTGACTGTGTGGTGTGCATTGTGGTCAAAAGGCATCATCGGACGTTACTTTTTCGAAAATGCGGCCGGGGACGCCGTTACCGTCAATTCTGAGCGATATCACGTGATGATAGAGGACTATTTTTTGCCGCAACTTGAAGGAATGGATATGGACGATGTTTATTTCCAACAAGACGGTGCAACATGCCACACAACCAACGTCAATATCCATCGATTGCAGTCCTTCTTCGGTGATCGCGTGATTTCGCGCAGAGGAAATGTGTCATGGCCACCAAGATCGTGCGATTTGACTCCCTTGGACTTCTTTATATGGGGATATTTGAAAAGCAAAGTCTACGTCAACAAACCAGCCACCCTCCAAGAACTCAAAAACAACATCATTGCCGAGATGAATGCTATAGAACCGACCATATTGCAAAATGTCATTGAAAATTTCGACCATCGCGTGGACGTCTGTAAATTCAGTCGTGGTGAACATTTGAGCGATATTATTTTTCATACATAAATGGTATAAATGAACCTTCAAAATAAAGTACCCAATTTGATTTGAATATCAATCTTTCTTGTTTTAATATGCGTTTACTTTCCTGCGTCCGTTTTGGACAACCCCATATAATTATTATTAAATTGAATTACTAGATGTTGAAAACGTTTACTCTTGTGCTATTTATGTGTATTTCAATACGAATAACTTATATGGAAATGAAATGAAATTCTTCTTTCGCAAAAATAATATACATAGGCTATGATAACTACGAAAAAAAGGCAGTAAATTGTTTTTGCAGAGTATAAAGTTAGTAACCTGTTACTGCTTTTTGATATGCAACAGTTAAAGACGGAATGTTATTTATTTTAACAGTTTAGATCCGAAATCACATTTAAATGACACTCTATAAAGTCAAGTAACTTTGCAATATTCATTAACTTTTTTTCTCTCATAATAATACATTTACTTAGTTCGAATGAATCCATAATTTTGAACTAAATTTTGTCTTTCTTTTTATTTTACACTTTATTGTCTTTTTAAGTACGGCAATGTGATTCCAAAGAAAAAAAAATCGAGTTGTAAAATTTCCCAGACGAAGGCGAGGTTTTCCCTCGTCTAACAGTAAAAAATCGGTGTTAGTAGCGGTATCCATGGGCGCCCGCAGGACGAGATAACTTTTTGTGAAAGTGCACCTGCCCCCAAAACTTTTTGAAGAGCGGGGGTAGCAAATTTTTTCAGGGGGAACTGAATCCTAAGAACCCTCAAATTGTACACAAAATCATGATAAATATGCAAATTTTAAGGTTCAGCTGGATTCACAGGGAGGCCACGGTCCCCCTGGCCCTCTCCTGCGAACGTCCATGGAAGTATCTGTATGCAGCGTGATTCAGTTTCGACCCCTACAATTGAGATTTTAGAACCCGTGAAAGATATGTTCGAACTGACATTATTCGTGGTAACATACCCTATGTGTAGGTAGGCAGAATAGAAAGTACGTCGAAAAATTATATGAAAAGTTGTCATATAGGTGTTTATTTTTCGACCCACTTTCTGCTATAGAAATGTTGCCATGGTGTATGTCTGATATTTCTTGTTGTTACCACTAATTTCTCCAGCCCATTCCCTATTATGTAAGATGGTTGTTAATATTTTTTTCAGAACAGATCGTTCCCTAACTTCAGCTTCCTGATAATGTTGGACGTAATACAAATGCCTTTGGGGACTCAAATTTTATACACCACACAAAAAAGTGTCGTCAAGTAGGTTGACTGTATTTTCACGCAATTCTGGCCAAATGGACTTGGTATATGCATCGTGTATAGTATCTAAATCAACTTTTGTACGTTCTGATACCGTTATTGTTTGCCGGTTATGAAAATCATTGTACCCTGACTTAAGGCCGTAGAGTACAACGAACATCAATGACAAAAATATTGTTGATCTGGCAGGAATTGAAATTGTGGACTTCGCACAGTGTATCTGAATCAATATTCTTACGGTCTGGTATCTTTACCATTGACCGGATATGGAAACACTTACAGGCAGTTATGTAATATAACGAATATAAGTGAAGAAAAACTATTGCCACTTTAATCTTCTATAAATAATCGAGGACAACTTCCGACCGTGATGGTATTATTTGCTCGAGGCAAGGGTACTAAAAATAGATAAGCTCCTTCTATCCACAAAATATCTTCATATCCGCAGAAGTTGTTGTCACCGGTATTTATATTCTAAAATTATATTGCCCTGATGGTCGTAATTGTTACATCGCCGAGGAGTAATTGATTAACTTTTCCCAGCTGTTCAGGTAACAAATTCATCGTGCTGATGTTCGCACGGCGATGGCTAGCGCACTTTATACACATAAAAAATATTTGTGAAGGACAAATATACTGTGAAATATATGTTTGAAATATGCCTAATACGCGCATAGAATTACTGTAGTTGGAAGTTTATAAATATACTACCGCTAAAAAATTGCGCTATACCCTCCCCCACCCCTTCAAATTGTTTGCCCCTAAAAAATTCAAAAATGATCAGTTTCCGAACCGCCGAAAAACGTTGTTTCTTGCATTAAGATTTTCGAAAATTTGGTATAGTGGTAACCTCGCGTGAAAATTTTAAATTCAAGCAGTTCTTTTTTAAGGTTACAGACGGGCGAAGGATTAGTGAACAAACAGTCAGACCGACAAAAATGAGTGACAGTTTTTCGTGATGTAGATATATACTGAGTGAAAAAAAAGGCAAACACCTACGTATGTTTATCCGATTTTAATAACTTTTTTCCTATGTTCAGCGCCCCTTACTAATTAAAAATGATTAAATGTTCAGCTTGATACGCCAACTCACTGCAGAACCTGGTTCAATAATGTGTTGAGGATCCACGATTTCTTATACACTCATTGACACGCCTGGCTATGCAACTTGGTGAGTAAGAGCTGCTAAAGTCTGTGAAAGGTGTTGCAAATTCAAGAGTCTGCGACCTATCATGTCCCAGACATGTTCAATTTGAGATAGGTCAGGCGATCGTGGTGGCCAAGATAAACGGTTGATGCGATATTGATCCATGAAGGCTAAACGATGCTCTAGCATTGAGAAATCGAGTTTTGGATGGTGTTTAGGTATGGAATAAGATGATGCTCCGCTACTTTCTGAATACAGCGTCGGGCTGTCATATTGCCTCTGATGGAAATTAGTGGTGATCTGGTACCATAAGCAATAGCACCCCATACCATAACTCCCACGGTGTGGTGAACGTGACGGTCTCTGTCAAATTGTGGGTCACGTCTTTCACCACGTCGCCTTCTCAGTCTTGCCCGACCCATAGAATTCTTTCTCTACACCAGAACAAAAGGTTACGCCGATGTTCAGCTGTGAGACGTAGCACCCAATGTAGGCCAAACTGTCGTATTCGTCGTCTTCAAACCACTGATTAGCGATGGCTCGAGTACTACTGAATCTGTCTCTCAGAGCAAGAAGTCTTAACCGGCGGTCTTGTCGCTCAGTGGTCCCTCTGGGAGGTCCAGAACCCCTCGCTCGCTGTCCTCGGCCTTCCCGAGTCCACGGTCGTTCACACTGCAGTATACTGTGCAGGGATCTGTTGGTCCTCCTAGAAAGTTTTTTTATCGATAGACCGGCTTCACGCAACCCAACAATTCGACCCCTCTCAAAGTCACTTAGCTGGGACACCCGGCGAATTCTTCGCTCTCCAGGCATTTTGAGCAATCACAAAAAGGCTTCTCAATAAGCTACACGAAATTTACCATTTAACTGACATAAGTAAATTTACGAAAACTGAATGCTTCTTTATCACCAAATGATACACGCAGCCACCACAAAAACTTAACAGAAAAACCTGACTATTTTACGACTTGTTCATGGCAAGGTAAATCGATATGTAAAAAATTCTTGAATTGTGATAGACATACGTAGGTGTACCAATATTTACCTTTACGAAAGAAGCAACAAAAAATGTTACCTTGGTGTAACTAAAAAAAAATTTAACATTGATAGGATAGTTCCAACAGTACGTCTGCGACTGCCAAGTTATGTTTACAATTTCTGAATGAAATTGAACGTATGTGAAAAATGGTTTATGACTATCACAAACTCTATTGGAAATATCCCAATGAATATTTCTACGACATACACTATAATAATGTACACAACACAGGCAATTCAAACTAAAAACCAAAAACCAAAAAATCTGACAACAATTTTAGCAGCAAATAAAAAAATAAAATATACGATTATAACATGCATAGGAGGAATCAGTCTCAACTTACCTAGTTTCAGATCCTGTTCTTGTTTAAAAATTATAGAAATTCTTTTTTTGGCTTGAAAAATTTTCTACTTCTAACGATTTAAAATACATAATGTTTGTAAGAGGAGCAATTTTGACACCCTCATTCAGAGTTTTTTTTACAAAATGCATCTTAGATCTCAAATCTGCAGAACTCTATAGACGTTTTGTTGTTGTGTTTGTCCTTAACTTCAAAGTACGATTTTTTATACCGCGTATTTGAATTTTTAAGCCATTTATTCGCAATTTTGAGAAAGATTCGTCATACATGAAATAGGGATTCAAATATGGAATATTGCTTTTGGCAACTACTAAAACTCAAAAAATTCAAAGAGTTTTCAAATTTTTATTTGATTACAAACATGTACACTAACAACATAGTATTCTCAGCAGTTCTAGTGAGAGTGTTTGAATAAAAAGTGATCTATTGGAGGAAGAACTGAACTTGTGTGATGAAATTTTGGTTAATTTCTATTCTTCGTTTTTTAATACTCGTATTCTCTATTAGAAAATTTATAATATACTGCTTGGGTCATTCTTATAACTTCCTTTTTGTTTATTGATGGAAATTTAGTGACATAAAATTGACAAAGTTTGTATTTCCAAATATATACCTTATATAGTTTTGTATATTCGGAGTCCGGTGTCAAACTCGTTATAGAATTTAATTTACCCCCTAAATTGTTTTAGTCTTCATGAACCTGTTAGGCGTTTGAAAAATAAAAGTGAAATCGGGCTTCCAAATTGTGTTGATTAATCATTTATGTGTATTCTCAATTTTATCACAGAAATAAAATATGTCAATGCATTACAAATAATAGAATTTATCGAACAAAATATCTAAACAAATATTCGAAAAATTTCAAAGATGATTCGCAGGTTTTGGCAGTAGAAAAAATGTTCAAAACTTCTGACAAGTTGTGTGCCTTTATGTACAATTTTATTCCAAATTTTAATTTGAACTGTAGCTCAGGACGTCACGAAGTTATTTAAAAAAACAATATTGCATGATTTTTCCTCCAATAGGTAAAAAATCTCAAAAGAGTTGCTGAGGCTATAGGCCACCAAAAATATATAAATTAAATATAATAGTAAAATTATACCATGGCCAGTATACAGACAGTTAATACATATACCTATCGATAATTTCACATGTTTTAATCAGTTTCTGTTTTTAGCCAAATTACGTTCTATACGGGATGATCATTTCTGTAACGTAGATAGTGTAGACTGATGAAATAATTCAGGATCGTTCCAGTTTTCTTATTTTCTCCAATAGTAACTTTGTACAATTTTTAAACAAGACTTTTTCATCAATTTTTCTCTAAATTTTTCTATATCACATCCTAAATATATGTTTGTTTTTTTTTCATTTCAAACCTACTAGGAACAAAGAAGATATGACAATGATATGAAAGGGAAGTTTTTGCCATACAATTATGTAACGTTTTGCATTTTTAACACAATTTCATGACGCATTCACACTTGATATGTATTGTTGGAATTAAATTTTATATAGACTAAAATCACATGAAGTGTTTTACGAATATGATGTTCTTCACAAGGATCAAGGTTAATCCATTTTTGACAAATAATTATTTCATTAAAATTTTTTCAATTTGGTATCCACGACAGCTCAAACCTAAGCAACAATAAATCACTAGATGTATAAGTATTACATCATTTTTTCAAGGGCATAATAAATGACGTAACACACTTTTCGCTTGGAAATTTTGTCTTTGGAGAAATCGGAGAACCTATAAATGCGAGGGACACTATAGAAAAGAAATTTGCCTAGCCATGAAAAACATTTGAAACGCTCAAGCACCATGTCAAATAATGGCATGGGTTCTAAACTTACTCGCAATATTTGAGTTAATTTTGATAATCAGTATAAAAATTATAAAGTGAATTGTGAGGAAAATGACCAATTTAAAATCAGAGTATCGCATTGACTTAAAACTTCTGACAAAAGGGGGCCATCAACAGAAAACAATTCTTGAGAGAATGGTTATCGTCTATGGGGATGATGTACCATTATATAACACAACAAAATTTTGGTCGAAACAGTTTCGATGGGGGCGTGAATTTGAAGAAGATGATCCCAGATGTGGAAGACCCATAACACCAACAAATGATGAAGTGACTCAAAAAGTATGGGATTGAATGGGTGTCCGCCAGGTAGGTTCCACGATGGTTCATACCAGAACAAAAACTGCGCAGGTTGGAAATTTCATAGTCATTTGGAAATTATGACTAACGATTCTGACCTTTTGGCATAAATTGTGAGGGGGCGACAAGACTTGGGTGCATCATTGGGATCTTGAGAGAAAAACAGAATCCAAGCAGTGGGTTCAGAAAGAGTTTCCACCCCCAAAAAGACACGGACGCAACCCTCTGCTGGAAAATTGATGGCAACGTTGAATCTGGATAACCATAAATGCGGACGTCTATTTGAACACGTTGAAAAATTTACGTAAAGCAATCCACCAGAATATACCCGATGTTTCCAATCAAGAAGAGTTCCTGCATATTTATCTGTTTAGATTTCTAAAAAAAAAAAAATGAGGACGCCGTTTCGACTCAGACAACGACCTAGAAGCAGCAGTTGACAACTTTTTTTAAGAGTCAAGAGTAAACATTTTTTTTATAAGATTATAAGTTCACTGGAGGAGAAATGGTGCAAGTGCATTTATGCAGGGGAGAGTGAAGTGAAAAATAAAATTATATCAAAAAAATCGTACGTCTTTTGTTACATGGCTAGACTGATTTCTATTCTAGTGCCGCTCGTATTACAGACAATGTGTTGTATTAGTAAGAGCGCAAGATATGAATTGCCACCATAGAAATGATCTATCGCTAATAAAAATGTTTAAAAAATTGATAATATGAAGTTTGAGGTATTGAAACGTCACCTCTATCAAATTTGACGAACACCTACTGTGCCGTTTTTGAAATATATGGTTCGTGTGAAATTTAGGGCAGCATTAAATTGTTGCTGCAGAATTCGAAGACAATCTTCTAATGGGTTATTGGTATATCCACCAAGAAAGCTGATAAATTCATAGTACTGTCGAATACCACTACATAAAAGCAAGTTTTATTGGAAATTTTTCCAAAAACGTCAGGGGATACTAAGTTTCCTTAAATTTCAAGATTCGACATTTAGTATCAATCAGGACCCAGAAGCCTATTTTCATTGTACGAAGAAACATTGAGCCCATATTGATACGTATTTCAAACAGAGAGTAGTTTTTTAATACTCGAATTATTGCATCTCTACATTCAATGTTTACATGAAACGATCGTCTAGTAATTTGGCTGACACTTTTAAGTATAGTATGGTGCCACAGCATGATAGCATGCTATCGTTGAGGCATGAACCTAATGCCATTTTGTAAATATTACACGGAGTTCCTTAAATACCCTAAAATTAATGGTTAACATATAGTTCAGGAACTAATTTTCAATAATAACATACAATAAAACAAGTCTTTAAAATTATGTACAAAAAATAATCACAGTACATTTTACTTTACTAAAAAACCTTACGGAACCTAGAATATTATACAGTAGTGGCATTTTTTGTATCTACATTATTGGTACATTGGGTAATTGCACTTAAACCATAAAGTCTAACTTACTTCACTACCTCAATATTTTTTTGCCTTAATACCATTTTCTCAAAATTTGGCACATCAATTTCACTATAAAAATGTGTTATTATAAAAATTTGATATACTCGTAACGCGATCGCTATATTTGAAACATTCCTAACAACGTAAAACTCTTTGTTTTTATTCATATAATGTCTTCTGTGCATAGAGTATCAAATCCTGATGTTTGGCAATTCACAAAATGTGAAATGTTGCCCAAGCTTGAGCCCCATGCAGCCATTGGGGTAAGAAACCATACTTACTTCAGAAATATAGTAAAAGTATAACAACAAATATAAATGTTGCCTGGGTGTGAATGTTCACTCATAATTCAAGGGTAATATCACAGCTGATTGACTGGCAAAATGAGCTACTGAAACCAGAATTCTGGATCCAGAGCTTCTCTGTACTTTGCCCATTGGATTTATGAAAACTATGCCAAAAGAACACACGCACAATGTCAAAAAACACGTGGGAGAATTACAGTTTTGGTTTGCTACTGGTAATACAACAGTTAGCATGATACACTCTTTATTTCTTATGGTGCTCGATACTACCATTTTTATACAGTCCTGCAGTAACAGTAACGAATTGGAAGACTATGTAAAAATGATAACTAATAATCAGAATCACAAGAGCCTTATTCTTTGTTGTTTAATTTTAGCAACATTCCTGCCTAAATTCGGTTATAAGTATTGAATTTGAAAGGGAATAGAACTGCATGGAGTTTATATATATAGTCTTAATAAACTTTAGAGTTCCAAGTTATTAGGTGTGTTGGATGAAGCATGATTCTCAGTAAAAGTGCCTTTATGAGACACTATAAAAATGGTTCAAGTAAATGGCAGTGGAAGTACTTAGATACTTCACAACTTTTTAACACTATATAATATATAAAAACAATAATTAATAAAAATAAATATTCTGTACATTTGTAACAAAAAAAGTTTTTAAGTAACTATTACGTCAGGTACAGTATTGGAAATTTTTTGTTTGTGACGCTTACAAACAGCCCTATAGTCCAAATGTGAAAAACAGGCTTGTACAATTCAAAATAGCCTCAATTTAGTTACTTAAACATATTGATTGAGAACAAAAAATGTCAACATATACATTAACTTTATAAGATATGGCTTTATACTAACGTATATGGAAGACAAAAATCATTTTAAACAGAAGATAAATGATCGACTGTTCTGCATAGAAAAAATGTAGTTCTTCTCTCCAATATTTTGTGAAATACAAAACATATTCAACTTTTTGAGAATCTCAATTTTGTAAATAATATATGTCAACAACTAGAGCTTGTTACAAAAATTTAATAAAAAAAATATCGTTTTTTAGACGTTATGTGATATCTACATCACTACAATTATAAGAATCACGTTTATAGGTGTACAGTGATTTTCCAAAAAGGTCCAATCTTACTTATTTTTTAATCAGTCAAGTTAGCTAACTGAAATTCGGGATGATGAATTTGAAACATAAATACTATATCTAAGCGTGGAAGTGAGTGACAATTCAAAATTTAAAAATGGAGGCTGGACACCATCTTGGAACAGTCTTTAAATACACTGAAAACCAAACACCACTGACGTCGCAATGTGTACGAGAAAGAAGAATGAGAAGCATGCAATAGGTGTGTTAGAAAGAGATAGAAGCACTTCGCGTTGCCTGAGTGCCGAGGCCACGGATGCCATCGGCGCACTCTGTCTAACATACATATTGGACGCTTCTCGCGCTTCTCTCTCGTACACATTACGACGTCAGCTAAAATGATATAGTATGTTGTGCAGATCTCTATCTTAGGAGAGTCTATCCGAATATGTAATAAAATATGAAATATTCCATTTAGAAAAATCTGTTGAAATCTTGTCATTTTTTGAACGAAACATTTCAAATCGTCCAGTACCTCCAAAACGACAAGCCAGCATGAGGTTATGTATGTTTTTTTAAATGTACCAGGTACGTTGCCCCCGTCCATCGTCCCAAAGACGCCAAAAACCCTCACAAAAAAAAGCCACCCATAATTGTAACACAACTTGTTCGCTTAGTGCTGACTTTGAGGTTTCTCCTCTTGTTATATATCATTCAGGTTCTGTAATTCTACATTTAACAGGTCTTGATGTATACCGTACGAAAGATGTTTATCCGCAAGACTTGAAGATGTTTGCAAAAAAATTAATATCAGAACTGTCTTTAAAACCTATTAACGAAAATATAGACAAAAAAATAAAATAGACTGTGACTGTAGTAAATGCTACGTCGGTGAAACTTGAAGACCTGTTAAATATAGAATTAATGAACATAAAGGATATGTAACAAAGGAAGAAATCTTAAAATCAGCACTAAGCGAACATATATGGGAAACAGATAAATATGGGGGATTATTTCAAATTTTATAGCATATTCCGATATAGACCCTTACAAAAAAAGAAAATTCATATGCGATGTACAAAACGCTCAAATCTAAAAGCTTGCCAATCCGCCACTTTGAAAAATACCGATACTATATTCTATATATACGGAGCTGCATAAAAGCAACACATGATTCCTCATGTCATTCAGAAAATTGCACCAAGGTGGCGATCAGCCGTGATTTTGAAATTTTCAAATAGAACCCTACGCTAAAATAAATTATTTATGCGTGAATTTTATCATCTCAAATCTCAGCTTGCTAACTTGATCCATTCAAAAAATAAAAGGGAAAACATTTTCGTAAGGCACCACATATTTTTGAAAATTTGTGCATTGACCAAGAAATGAGCTACGAAACTTCAAGGAATTTCAAAATATTCCTGAATATCTCGATCATTCACTGTCGTATAAAAACGTGTTTTGCTAATCGGATCTATTTGATGACAGAATGGTATAGGAAAAACATTTTATATTTTGTGCATGAAATCTAATGCAGAACAGGGACATGATATAAAGAAATGTGGAGCTATAAAGAGTGCAAAATAGGTTTGCATATTGCTTTACAACAATCGGTTGAAAAATACCACTCCTAAAACTGTGGAATACATAAAATTATATATAAAAAATTATTGCAAAGCAAATTCGCGAGAAATTGCTAACAGTTTTTCCTATAAGGACGGATCGTTATTGAAACGGAGTGAAACATACGCCGGGTATTAACAAAATTCTGTTCAAATGTCCGCTGCGACACAGTTGCCCATGTTCGAGACGTCCAGTTTCTAGTGATGGTCGATGTTATGTTAACTTTGGGGGCCTATTGACATGGACCTGCGACTTCAGAAAACTTCACAAGAAAAAGTCTAATGGGGTTGCAATGCAACCACAAAAAGTTGTTTTGTGTGGATTTAGGGCTGAAGGCGTCAATCGTCCGTACTTTTTCAAAACTAATGTTTGTGAAGTAATCACCTTCAATGACAAGTGCTACAGATGTTGGTCCAAATTAAAAAATATTAACGAGAACAACATTTGGTTCGACAGAACGGTAATATGGTTCCTATTCAATTATCAAGTCGATAATTATTGTCCTTTGTAGAGAATACCGACCGCAGCGAGAGACTCTTCAGTCTCCTGATCAGTCGCCGTGCGCTGTGCGGGTTCGAATCCCGCCGCAAGAGAAATTTTTCTCTTGGCTATGGATGTTGTGATTGTCCGTAGGTGGTAGACGGTCTCTGACTGTCGAACGCAAAGGTACCACCCGGCGGATCTCGTAGGCGCGGCCAGAATGTGTGCATGGTGCATACACACGTGTTCCCTCGCCAGAGTCCATGTGTCGTTCTCCCTTTTCCCTGTATACCCCTACAGTCCCACGGTACCCCATGGGTGTTTAGGCCTTAGGCCTTCGTGGTAGTTGGAGTATATAAAAAAAGTATACCAAGGTGTGATCTAAGCATCAATCCTCATATACAGCAAATTGTTCTAGCTGTTAATAGATCATTGGGATTTGTGATACGAAATTCCAAGGAATTTACTAACAAGGAGACAATGATCAACTCAAAAATGATTCTGTTAGTTTTGATAATTGAACAAAATCACACTCTCTTGCATTTTTATATAAAACAGTCCATGGTATTTACGACTGCCCATCTTTCGGACCACTATCACTACCCGATGAACTATCTAGTTGCAATTACATCTCTACTCAATGTGTTCATGTTATATTGATGTTCAGGACGATTTTGATATATCTAATACAAAAATTATCATACATCAAGCGAACATGTAAAAATGTGTCTTAGTGTAAATTAGATTATTACCATCAGTAATTGGTATATCTGTTTTTGGTATATAAATAAATACGTACTAGTATCACATGGTGAACGCCACAATGGTCATTTTGCAAGAAAGCGTTGACGACATGGTTCCCACTCGCAGAGGTGACGTAAACTGACCAAGCAATATCGTGCAACTTGACTATTTAAGCTTTTTTGTAATGTGTTCTGAAGCCACAGGTTTTTTCTAATAAACCAATACCTAGAATGTCAATATGAGTTAGATGACTGCTCAAATTCAGCAGGATCTATGTAGTAGAAAATTGGACGTCGTGGATTCGGACCACTTTGCATGCATAAAAAAGTATTTCGTCAATACCTCACGCATAGCTTATTTTATTTCAACACCGAGTCATCCTCTGGAAAATCCTGTACAAAAATTACATTTTTTTTTTAGTTTAACATAATAAATAGACATCCGACAATGATCGAATGTATACAAAATTGTGCGAAATGAGAACGTAGGCTGTTATGTTACCAATTTCCTCCGTACTGTACATTACTTTGATTAAATTGACTACAATATTTTATAATTGAAATTAACGCTAAAATTGTTACTGTTGTGTTTGTAAATCAATCCTGAAATTAAAATTTAATAAACACCTACCTAACCTATTAAGCAAGTCCTCGAGACTATACAGCCACTTATATAGACCGCAGGTATATTGTTTTATATTAACTATATATAATACTAGATGATACGTTTTTTCAGCGATTTTCGAATTGTTAAAATTGTTGTCAGAATTTTGTTGGTACACTATACTAACTTTATTTGAACTAGTCCGAACTTTTAAACACAATTCGTTTAACCACAATTTTAAGCATTTGAAGTGGCATAAACTCAATAGCAGCAGCGCTGCCTGATAGACACGGATTAAAAAGAATGTTAGAAAGTCGTGGGTGTTATAAGAGTAGATATACAGGAGTGAAACAAAACAGAACAAACCTAGACACAAATTCCCCTCAGCTTTAACACAACTTGATACACTGTTCTGTTTTCCCTCTACTTCCATGATATCTTTACGATTCTGAAAAGAAACAACAACATTTCAGAAAAAAAAACTTTGAAATTAGGCATGACCAAAACCTCGTATTCATGGTAAACGTTTTCCGATTCGATTTTTTTTTCGTAATAACGTTTAGTAGGTATGAATCCCCTCATAAATTTAGGAGTTACCAGTTGCGATAAAGTTTGGCCAAGTGCCGATATCTGTCACTTAGGATAGTCTTGAATAATTTGGAGCGGGGCCACAATAGGCCTACTGAAAACCAAATTGCGGCAGGATGAAAAACAATCTCGACAAAATTATCTACAACTTCTACCGTAATTATGAGTTCTGCAAAGAGAACATTGTTTTGTTTCAACTACAACTAAAACATTACTTACATTATTTTTGAAAAAAAAATACCACTTAGTATATCCAGTGTCGCTGTTTTAGTATGATCAACAACAAAGTTCAAGGCCTCATTATAGTTGCGTATTGATTTGTTTCTACTTTTGCTTTTAATGTAAGCGCTCTGGAATATCTTTATTTTTATATACGTTTTGTATCCCAGTGTATTTTAATATAGATTTGAAGCAGAGAGAGATGCGACTATGAGCTCATACACAAAAGCCGAGTTAAATATTCGAAAATGGGTTAATTTTGGATAAAAATGGCATGATTGAGAGCTTTGGGTTTTTAAGAAACAATCAGATACTAAATTTTTGAAAGTATGATATACATACGAGGGCGGTCCGATAAGAACTTAGCATCACCGTCCGTTGGCGCCACTATCGCAAGAGAAATTTACTATCGTGTAGTACAGTCTCGTAAACGGTTACTGTTAAAATTTTAGCCGAATCGGACTCGTAGTTTTGTTTTGTCCGCGTGTGGAAGCAGGCGTGTCCGCGGATTTTAGAAAAATGAAAAAGGGCAATATTGGTCGATGATTTGATTCTTGTTTTTGGAAATGAGACTGCGCAGCGAAATCAAAGAGCGCTTGGATGCTGCGTACAGTGACTCTTCTCTTTCGATGGCGGCCGTCAAAAATTGCCTTAATGACTTTCAACGTGGTCGCACGTCGGTTTTTGATGAGCCACGCTCAGGTGTCCTGAAAACGGAGGATAACCTGACAAAAATCTTCTTCGATCTCGAATTGGCAGAGCGCCGATTGAAGGTGTGCGAGACAGCTGAGACAGTAGGCATCTCAAAAGGTCGCGTGAATCATATTCTGCATTAAATATTGAGCATGAGAAAACTGTCTGCGCAATGGGTGCCGCGTTTGCTCACGCTGGACAGCAAGCGCAACCGTGAGACCCCTTCATAGCAGTGTTTGACGCTGTTTAAGCGCTATCCGAAGAAGTTTATGCGTGGTTTCGTGACTGTCGACGAAACATGAATCCACTGATATACACCAGGGACCAAGAAATAGTCGAGACAGTGGACTTCATCCGGCGAACGTGCTCCGAAGAAGGCGAAGACTGTCCTATCGGCCGGAAGGTGATGTCCACCATGTTCTGGGATTCACAAGGTGTGATCTGAATCGAACCTAAAGAATGGCAAAACGGTCACAGAGCTCTACTATGCCGAATTATTGGGCTGATTCGACGCCGAATTGCAGAAAAAATGGCCCCATTTGGCGAAGAAAAAAGCGCTCTTCCACCATGAAAACGCAACGGCTCACACCACCGTCACGGCCAAATTGGTCGAATTAGGCTATAAACTGCTACTCCTTCCACCGTATTCTCCATATCTGGCCACGTGCGACTTTTTTTGTTTCCAATCTTGAAATCTCAGTTAAATGAGGAGGTTATAACCGCCACGGAGGCCTACTTTGCAGACTTCCAGAAAACGTATTTTTCAGTCGGGTAAAGAAAAAATGTTTTTCTTTTGTAGTCTAAGTATTTGTCGGATCGTCCTCGTATGTTCTAAAAAATATTTAAATCCAAAAATTCTATACATGCGATCACCTTGACATTTGAATCACACCTTGATTCTTTGCACCGGGAACTTCTTGATTAGAGTTAAAGGGCATTCAAGAAACGTGTTTATCGAAAAAAAATCGAGTAGGAAAATTTCCCTCATGAATGCGAGTGGTAGAAATGGTAGTGGCATTCCCAAAATAAATATTACTTTCTGACTTCTAAGAGTATTTTAAGGCTGAATGCAAAGTCGCTACCCCACCTGAGTTCCCCTCATTGTGAGCATATGCTTCATTTGTCTCGATAGTTTTGACACATTTGAGTGACAGAACAGTGTGCAAATGTCTCAAGGACGAAGCAAGGTTTTTTACTGCACTGCATCGTCATTGACTTTAAGGCTTTCTTGTTTCACTACTTGCCTCAAAGAATACGGGGAACTACCCATTTTTACGAGGTCTTTAAATTAAGTGATAAGATGGCAATACTGGATGCGCCGAGCTTGGAGGGGAGACAGGGGAATATGATTCTGCTTTCAGTACAAGTTTGAACTTGCTCGAGTTATTTTGTTGTCCGTTGCTTTTATTTTATAACGGTTTTTTTTTGTTCTAAAAATGACATCAATTTCAAGCAAGGGTGTGCTACCAGGTTTTGCTTCGGACTTGGGCACAGTGTAACAGGCCTACGGAGATAGTGTTTTGTCAAGAGCCCAGGTTTTTCGGTGCTTTAAGGCGGAAGGCCTTCATCTTCAAGAACCGATGTGAATATCGTCAAAATCCGGAATCTTGTGCGTTCAGAACGTTGGTTAACAGAATGATTGGGGAATAGTCTCCCCAGCATCCTTATTCGCCTGACTTGTGACTTTTTTCTCATCCCGAAGTTAAAAAATCACATCAAAGGAACTCATTTTGGGACAGTCGAAAACATTCAAAGGGCTGTAACCGACCAGCTGAAGGCTATTCCGATACCCAAGTTAGAGCACTTCTATGAGGAGTGGAGGAACGTCTCCAGCGCTATGTGGGTGACAATATAAAATTGTAATTATATTACCATAAAAAAATTTACAGACCTCGTATGTGTATAGATAACACATTCCGTATCAAGCGTGATATTAGTTGATAACCATCTAGATCGTGCTGATGATTGCCAATGAGCATGAAACAGCTGTACATCTTTGACGCTTTATTTGGTCGGGCCGACGAAAGTAGTGGTATTGATAACCAGGTGTAATATGGAGGCATTAGATGAACAAATCCACCTTTATTGATGCCTGAAAGTGTTCTATCACTCCCATGTGTCAAAGCAACTAAGATACGAATATGTTGGAACTCTGACTTGACAATGTTTTAATTGTATAAGTGCTTGTTAATCACAACAAAAAAACTTACCTCGACCATTCGCCAGTTGGACGACGAATCATCAATAGAATTGTGGAAAATGTCGTCGTTATAAGAGCTCGGAAATCCGCCAACCTTCTTATGCAGATCGTAAGCTGGAGGAGTTGTCGTACCATACAATGTCAGTTGCCAGGTTTTCACTTGAGCTGTTAAGTAAAAACAATAAATAGTATATAACGACTGGTCTTTGAACTAAAGCCCCCTTTTCACTATGGCCCATCTGGCCCAATGCACTGCAAAAGCATTGATTAACATATTTCACCAGAAGATACCCAACCCAAATGTACCGTAACTACTTTCACTCGTTAAGTCTTGTTCACTACTCAAATGTTGATTTACAAAGTAAAATCCATTAATAATAATTTTAACAGGCTAGTTGACTCTGTTTTAAGTAAATCTTAAGTAGTAAATATTTATTCTATTAAACCAAAAAATGAATACTATGTTTTTTTAGACCTTAAAGACCGTGAAACTTTGAAAATATATTTTTCTTAGACAGGCGAAATCGCTGTCCGCCATGTTTGGCCCATATGAATGTACTCTGACGTCATAGCATTTGTAAACAGCATGACCTCTACTAGTTTACATGATAAATATAGCAATCATGGTTATTGTATCGTCTGAGAGAAAATGTAAAAAATATACGCAACACTGTGTGTACTTTATGTTCGGGATATATTTTATCGTTTAGTGTGCAGATTTTATACGATTCCCTTGCAGATGTGTAACAAGAAATACAATATTAGATTAAATTATTGACTTTTGAAAAGGAAGATTATGTAAGTGACTTATTATTTCTGACTATGTTCATTATATCAGACGCACTGTACGTACATAGAAGTCTTGATCTTCTTCAGCTCGGTAGAGCCGAAATCTGGCTTGAAGGCAAAGCAATGACCAACCATCAATGTGTCAATTTCCAGTAAATTTGTGCTTTCTGTTTTTACGAATCTAACGCCCATGGTTGTTTTTCAATAAAACAAAAAAACGACTTTTTACGTAGGAGTTTTTTAGAAATATTTAAAGAAGACACCTTTAGTCCACTAATGACATACGGGTGACGCTTCTTTGTTTACAATTTGTATGACGTCACATCATGGCCGATAGAGTTTTCACCGTTTCATATTAAAAATAAAAATATCTTTTTTTAAATTAGACTTATATATCCATCTTGCGCTTTTAAAACTTGAAATCAATATATCATATAGTAGAAGCAAGTCAGTACACGGTTATAGATTGCTTGGTATCGGGAATTCTGTTTCTTTATTTGTTCGATAAAGGTATTAGATGACTGATATTTTCTCACCTAGCCGCCAGCGAAGATTTGGGTTTCTGTCCTTAGGTTTGTTAAAGATTCGAATCAATGTGCAAAAAGATTACGCTACGTTTTCGAGATATTAGATCGTGGATGTTGATGAAAAATGAGGTACTATAAACATAAGTTTCCACTCTAAAATACTGGTAATCTATTATTTATATTTTGTATAAGTGCAGCCGTCTTTTAAGAATGACCTAATACTTGCATTCAAAAAAGGGTAGTTCGACCAATCAGACGATATTTGATTATGTGTTTGATAAAAAGCTAACGAAAGATCTACGATTTGATAACACATGTCATGAAACTCGTGTGAGCAAATCTAGAACTGCAATAATTCACAGTTATCTATCAGTGCTGATCCACCCTATACCGGGGTTATGTTACAAGCGATCTCATTTTTACAATACAATATATCAGAAACCTTGCTACTTAGTGTATATATCTTTTACATTATTTCATGTTTTTGATGGCCGTAATGAAGGAACAATTATTACTGGCTAGGCGAGAAAAAATAAAAATCCATTAAAAATTGTAAATAGGGGGCTTAAGATACTATATATAATGACTACAGAAGCAACGATATTGCAAAAGCGTTACGTAACGCTGTAGAATGCAAAGGATGCACCTAGGAGTAAGCTTTCTAGCTTGACCTAGTCAGAATGCAAAGAAAAAGCTGGACGAGTATGTCTAGCAGGCCTAGAAAAACTATCTACCTCCAAACGTAAAAGAGGCTTGAGTCCGTCTATTAGCTGCGTTACGTAATGCTTACTGAAAAAAAAAATAATAACCAGACTACTAATTGATCACTCCAAACACATAAAAATGAAATATTACTATTACAAATCATGCGATTCCTGGATTATTCTACTCTAGATATACAAAAATTTGCAAAAAGGTGTTACGAGTAAAATTTTAGTGGAAAAAAGGTAAAAGCGAAAATAGGCATGCAAAGTTTCCACATATGTTGGCTATTTACCCAGACTTCCTTTTTGAGCTGTAGTTTTCACAGTAGGCACTTCAGTCGTTTTTTGCAGGGTAACTTTGACGTTACGGCTCGTGTTTATATCTCGACTTTTCTCTTTCAATTTTTGGTTATTTTTGAAAGTGTTGTAGGTTTTAACAGCGTCTCTTGAAGGTATCATGATTGGATAAGTGATTGTTATGTTTTTAACGAATTTCAAATACTGTCTGACACTATCTTGATCAAGTTTGATTTTTTGGATTGGATTGGAATTTGATACTGCGTAAAAATATGGCGATACGTCTGTGGTTGTAGTAGAGATGAGAGGTGTTTTATTTTTATTAGAACTATTTGTAGAATTAACTAGATGTTTATTCTTGCTACTAATGATATTGGAATCTTTTTTATTCGAGATAGATTCCTTTTTGTTGGTTAGACCAGGATTGTTAGGCTTAAATTTTGATTTATTTTGTATTTTAGGCAATCTAGTGGTCGTGATCAATTTCGAAGAGTGCTTGTTTTTGATTTTGTTCTTATTCTTCTTCTTATTGAACGTTTTGTTTTTGCTTATTCTAATTGGGTCTCCATTATGAGACGCAGTAGGAAGAAACTGCTTTGATCCGTACATTACTAATGACCAATTTTGCAAAGTTGCCCTTCCTGAAAATCAAGGTGTTAGTAATGTTAGTGAGCAAAACCCAAAACCAAGAGGCAATTCTTCAAATTTTAGCGATGCCAAAACAAGAGTGTTAAGGATAAGGTGATATATTTAAACTATTATTCAAGGTATAAAAAAAAAAACAAACTACGTAAAGATGAGTCAGTCAGAGCCGGAATACTCGTTAATTTGACAGTAACTCTTGCTGGTCTTGGACACAATCAAATAAGGAAACAAGTGGGAAGCGACAGTAAGGACCACATAGTTCCTAGATTTGTATTAAAAATAAGAACTTCGACACCAGTTAGGAGATGGAACGGAACACCAAAGGCAAAGGCAAGGAAAAGTACCTGGTGCAATCTTGGATTGCGCAAGAGTAAATGATAAGCGAGTAATAATAAGTACAATAATATAAGGATTGCCATCTACACTGACAGTTAGGCGTCACTCAAAGCGTTAAGAAGCCCTAGAGTGACATCAGCACTGATTTGGGAATGCCAACAAGAACTGGACACACTGGCGGGACACAACAAAGTTTGATGTGAGTGTCAGGACATTCAGATAACGTGCAAATAGGCCCAATATGAACGAATTTTAAATCCTCACTTTTTTCGTTGTCTGTTTCATGTGAAATACCCCATAGTTGCTATGGTACGGGCAGAATGCTGATGGGCTCTAGACTCAATATTCTGGTTGCTCCCAATTTTTCCAGTCGCTGTGTCATTAATACTGGGTTGTTAGGTGATCATTTAACCAGCAAACAGTTGCACTGTTCAGCGTAGAGACACGCATAAATGGTAAATGGCACTCTCCTATCCTCGTTGCCCATGGTTGGCTGTCTGTTTGGACAGACGGACACAATCATCATGTTTAGTTCGAGGATATTATTACCTGTCTGCTATCTGTGCAGATCTTAACGCTGTTGCTAATACTCTTAGTGTTTTGTAGGGATTTAAGACATTGACCAAATATTCTGGTATTTGGCATCGCGTAATTTGAAGAATCACAAAATAATACGATTGACAAAAACATTGTTTTTCTACTCACCTAAAAGCCTCCCGTCGTTGTGTATTTCAAGTTGCCATGTTCCGAAAGGCGACTCCCCCCAAGAATGCACTGACATGAACGGCCAAACATTGAAACCAGATCTAGAATTATCGTGAGCTCTATGCGCTAGCAAAGTGACCCTAGTACCCATAGGGGAGGTTAACTGAATGTTCAGATCACCCCTTCTTTGCGAAAATATGGTCAACTTGGCTTGTACATGCTCTAAAACTTCTACGCCTTCACATTCCTTGACTTGCAGTTGAAGTACGACGACGCTTTTGGCGGGAATCGGCCTAAAATCAAGATAAACCTTGCCAGTTAAATTTGAGAACGCAAAATAAACAATATATGCGTCCTTGGTACAAATATATAAGGATCAAGCAAATGTATCAAGCGAACATGTCAAAGGTATTTGGAAATATACTCAGTGACATCAGAAGTGTTACACCTAGAAAAAATAATTTCCTCAACTTGACTTTTGGCAACATAATTACTACATTTAAAGCATGCTGTGGCAACAATATCAACGTTTTATCTTTGTTTTTGTTTACATTTGTTTAAATGTTATCTCTTAGTTTTTGCGAACAAAACAGTTTCTGAGAGCTGAGTAGTTCAGACTGCCCCTTCATTTACTAGTGTTAAGCATAACAAAAGGCGTCGAGTTCGAAGACGTGCAAATTATCACCATATTAGCCACTTCGACAGGGGCAGAATTATTGCCTATCGCGACACTGGCCGCTCGCCGCGTTAATTGTACTGCAATGACTGTAATGCGTATGTCGCATGTGTAGACGAACACGAAGAATCATACCACAGAGCGTCAAGATAGGCGCTTCAGACCACCAGCCATACGAGACCGTTTTGCTGCTATGTGTCAGATACCTGACCAATGGCTTGGAGAAGAAGGTAAACCTGTTACTATGCGTACACTTTGTCGCCATATTCGAGCCTTTGGACTTTTTTCATACCATCCACGGTTAGTGCTTCCTCTGACTGCGGACCACTGTCACCAACTTTTGAACTGGAGCAGAGAATGGCAACACTGGGAGGCAGAATGGCATAATGTCATCTTCAGCGACGAATCGCGATTCTATCTTTGTACGCACGATAGTCGTAGAAGTTTAAGACGCCGCCATGGAGAACGGCGTGATATTGGATTTGCTGTTGAGAGGCATGTACACAGGACTGTTGGAGTGATGGTTTGGGGGGCTATGGCCAATGGTAGCCCATCACTCCTTCTCTTTGTTCAAGGCAATATCACCGCTGCGCATTATGATAATGATGTCCTACAAACCACTTTACTGCCGTCCACACGTAATTTTTCAGCAAGACAACGCACGTCCCCATATTGCTCGTCGTACTACAGACTTTCTCCAAGAAGCAGACGTTGATGTTTTGTCGTAGCCATTCCTTGCAACGGATTTAAATCCCATTCGAACATCTGTGGGATAAGATGGGGAGGAGACTATCCACTTTGCACCTTCCGCCACAGACTCTGCCACAGCTAATCCACGAAGTTCGAGTTGCTTGGAATGAGGTGCCACAACCAGACATCGATAATCTCATTTTGTCTATGCCTAGACGTATACAGGAGTGTATTCAGCTGCGGGGTCGCCCAACACATTATTATTTTTTTTTTATCATTACTTGTCAATGAAATTTCATGAGAATATTATCGTTTTATTCTTGATGTAAGAAATTATTTTTTCTGGGTTTAGCACTTCTAATGTCATGTATTTATGCTTCCATGAGAATGATTTGGTATTTTGTGGACAGGTTTTATCACGGACAATTGACAATATGCATTATGTTTATCTTTGTAAATTAGTATAATCGTTAGAAAACTGGTGCAATACTGTTGAAATAATTAAGAATGAGAAATACATATTGGTTACGCCTGTAGAGCTTTTAACATTCTGGCGCAGATTTTCTCGTAATAAGTCTTATAATAGTCTTTGCTGTGCTAAATGGGTTAAATTAAGAATCTACACCCGATTTACCTAGGAAATCTTCGCTCAGATTACGGATAAGCAAGTTTTGAATTTTTTATAGGAATTTTCAAAATAATGTAAATCTTGTTAGGGCTAAAGGTTCAGGGTCTACAAGGTTGTCGGCGCTGACAAAAATTTCAAGTTCATAGCATCTATGATATTATTATTATTATTTAAATATTCTAGTACGTATGTATTTCGACTTTATGCAATCATTTTTCTTTACGCACTTTATGTAATTGATTGTTCTTTAAAAGCCTGAAGTTCACAACTGACATTTTTGTCCATTTTCGAATATTTAACTGAGCATTTTTTATGACACGAAATATATACAAAAAATAAAACTGTTGCTTCACTACACTTGCGTTAGAAACAAAAGGAAAGACTGAATATAATTGTATATTGACTTTTGGTTTCGATTTTAAAGTCATTAGGAATTTGATTATAAAGTCGATACATGTTATATAAGAATGATCTACAAAAATGTCAAGTTCATAGCTTCTATGATATTTTTGCATTTAAATGTTTTAAGACGTTTGGATTTCTACTTTTTGCAATCATTTGCGCACTTTACGTAATTGATTGTTCTTTGAAAGCCTGAAGTTCGCAACTGATATTTTTGTCCATTTTCGAATATTTAACTGAGCATTTTTATATGACACGAAATATATACAAAAAATAAAACTGTTGCTTCACTACACTTGCATTAAAAACAAAAGTGAAAGACTCAATATAATTGTATATTGACTTTTGGTTTCGATTTTAAAGTCATTAGGAATTTGATTATAAATTCGATACATGTATAAGAATGATCTACAAAAATAAAGGTTTGATAACTCAAGTTAGAAATATCAGGAAACGAGTTGGAAAACATGATTCGAAACATGTATGTATATTATCAGAACGATCGTAACTGGTACTTACTTGAGAAGATGTGGAGCAGGTATTTCACACTTGTGTTGCTCTGGTACAGTGATCCAATTCCTAGCCAACTGCACCATAGCATAAGCATCCATTAGTCCATACCCGAAGCTGTGTGATACATTTCTTCCTACACCGTTTGTTTGCCAATCAGGGGCAATCAAATTTTGAGGTCTTGCAGTACGCACGACGATATGCTGCATATCACGCCAAGTTAGATTTGGGTTGGCTTCCAGAGCCAGGGCACATATACCTAGAAAAAGGATTTTAAATATGTTACATGGTGTTTCCAAAATGGGACAATAATCCAAGAGGTGATCAGTTCGACTATTCTAACGAGGTGTCGTCAGAACCAGAACGTGGATTTCGTACAAAAATTTTCTGTGAATTTCTTGACCTCCCAAAGCTTTTCCGTTCACGCGGAATTATACTATGAATGATGCCATTGTGAATTGAATAAGTTCAAAAATACAGGTCTTTCGGAAGCCTGGTAAGATACACACCTACTTTTTAGTCTGGGGTGGATGATATTGCATATTTTTTTTTTATTTTTCAGTGGCGTTCATTTGGGGCTCTGTAGTCTCGTAATTATATATTCGGGAATATTCTGTGGGTTTCCTAACCTGCTGCCAAAGGAGCCGAAGCGCTGGTTCCGGTATGGCTACTGGTACAAGAATGTCTCAAATCTGTCGTGACCACCTGTCTTTCGCCGACAGCACCGCTACTATAAGTTGAAGCTAATGTTGAGCTACATGCTTCGCTGTACCAAGGTACGTGACCATGCTCTGTAGCACTGGATATCGATAAACTGTATATCGAGTTAGTGTAGCCATCACAGTTGCAGTTATCGTGATCTCTGCCGCCGTTTCCTGATGCCCAGATGAATATCGACCCCTTGCCGTTTCGACCCTAAAAAAAACCTTGATACAGTATATTTTTAGACGCTGGAGCGATAACGTAGTAAAACTCTAAGAACCGATATCAGCACTTACTATTAGCAGTGATTAACATATTCCATACGAAGAAACTCCATCCAGTTGTTGATTAACGTATTCTACCTGAAGATAGCCAACATAATACAGGGTGGGCCATAACAAAATTAACCTTTGGAAACAATGTTAATGAAAGTATATAATATAAAAGGAGATTGGCAATTTATGTTTTGAAAATGAAATCATCAAGATGGCCGAGAAAACATTCTTCCAAACGGAACCTCAAATTATCGAACACTCGCCGGCAAGTTGCTCATGAGATTGCCGCCATTTCGAGAATAATGCTTTGCTTTAATTCACCGACGGTTTTAGGATTAGTATTGTAGACTCGGCTCTTAAGATATCTCCATAAAAAAATCGGGTGGAGACAAGTCAGGGCTTCGTGTACGGAACATTTCCTGTGCGACGCCCATGCTCACGTTGGACTTGTGACAGGTGGTGTCATCCTGTTGAAAACACGTCATGGAGTTGTAACCATCAAAATCTTGAAGCTTTAGGGCCAAAAGCGCTCTGAGCATTCAAACATGACGTTCTGAATTAATTCTGAATTACCGATTGCTCGCGATGTTCTCAAAAAAGCAGGTCCAATCAAACCGCTAGCTGATATTGCTACCCAAACTGTGACTTTTTGGCAATGAAGTGCTTTATGATGCTTCCCAAATCACAAAACCGCTCAACCACTGACACTGAAAATTCTAATCTATTTGTAAGGGCAGTGACCTTTAATTCTTGGACGATTCAAATCTTGTATGGATGAAGTTCCAAGTCATGCTTTAACTCACGTCTAAAACTCGTTCGAGCAAGGCTCATAGTCGTTGAACGTCTACGAATTCAGAGCTCTGGATCGAAACAGATTCACCCACTTTCTCTATTCTTTGATCCGTTCATACAGTCCGCGGGCGACCTTGACGTCTTGTTGGCAATGTCGATCCGGTTTCTTGAAACCCCCTCAATCGTTGCTTTATTAAATTAGTGCTAGGGCACTAATAAATACGCAGCAATCCATATTTGACTCAGAATAAAGGACGCACAGTGACATAAGAACGAGTATTTTAAAAGAACGCTTGCCCCGTGAATTGACTAATGGCTACTGAAAATGTAATCTAACGGTACTGCTCTCCAGCGTTTCCGCCTGCGTTTCGCGGTTTTATTTAATAACAAAATCATATTATGGCCCACCCTGTACTATTTCCGAGCATCAAAAAAATTATCCGAGATGTAATGAGATACACAGCGTCATCTATGAGAATTTGTACAGCTATCTTCCAGTATCTCGGCAATAATTAGGAACCTACTTTGGATACGTTAGTGTCTCATAGATGGCGCTGCAGCCAACTATACAAAGGCAACTATTTAAGTTTTGCAATATAGCTTTATTTATTGACTTCGTTCAAAGTAATCTCAACCACATTCAATACACTTTTCCATCCGCCAAAACCAGTCCCTAAACCAGCTCTGCCAAGTTTCACCCAGGAGTGCGGAACACTCGTTGTCCCAAGCCCTCAGAAGGTCCTCATCGCTAAAAAACCGTTTTCCTTTTAGCTTCATTTTCACATGTGGAAACAGTGCAAAGTCGCATGGAGCAAGATCTGGACTGTAAGGAGGGCGCTCAGTCCAGTAGTGGTCAAATACTCAGTGCAGGATTTGGCGCGGTGGGCTGGAGCGTTGTTATGGTGGAGGTACCACGTGTCCATTCTTGACTTTGGCCGCAGGTTTTTCATAGACTTTATGACTTTAGGCAGGCACTGTTCCGTGTACCACTCAGCTGTGACTGTCTTCTGTGTGTCCAAAACGACACACTCCACAATCCCGCTTGATTTGAAAAATACAGCTAATATATTCTTCTAACAGGGTTTTTCTGACAGCTACGGGTGTGTCCTCATCATCAAAGACCCTAGCTTTGTGTTGAGCCTTGGTTGGAACATCGTAATAATAGAGTCAAGTCTCGTCACCTGTCACGATGCTGTTCACATACCGAGATGGCCCCTTATCAAACACTGTCAGCATCTTTCGGCACCAAGTCGTACGACGAGTCTTCTGCTCTTCCGTCAGACTATGTGGTACCCAGAGAAAACAAAGTTTCCTTACGTGTAAGTGTTCATGCAGAACTGCATGAATAGCTGGTGCATGAAGGTGTAATGTCTCCTCTATCTGTTGGTATGTCACTCTCCGGTCTTCGTCACGCATTTTCCTCACAGCAGTAATGTTTGCCTCTGTTACTGACGTTCGCCGCCTTCCTGCCCTCTCAGCGTCCTACAGAGTGAAAATGTCCCTTTGGAATTCTCCGTACCACCTAAATATAGTCGTACGATGAGGATAATCATTCTTTAATGCAAGCGACATTCCTTCTAAGAACTGGTCTATGCTTACTACGTGACCACGATGCCATGGTTCGCACTTTACACTATTAATACGAATGAACAACTAAAACAGACGTGATGTTGGCGGTTACTATGCATGTCTCAACATGCAGCCTCCTGTGTCCGTTTGTTAAGTCATATTGCGTCATAAGTACTGAGTCAATCTACTTGACGAAATATTCAGAGAATTATCATAGACTGAGTCATCAAAAACCATAATATCTCGATTTCGAAAATTTTAGCGATTACAAAGCTTTTTCGCCAGTTTTGGAATAGGAAGTAAAAATGAGGAACAATAACGAAAAAATAAATATAACCATTTGATACATTTTTATTGTATGTATTTAGTTAGGTAGTTATAATAGTCAATTATTTATTTAGTAAGTATATTTAGGCATCGTAAAAATATTTTCGAGTTTTTAATTCTTTTTATTAACGGTTAAATGACAACAAGTTTCTAAAAATGTTTCATCTTCTATTTACTCTTTGCGCATCTGCATCATGTTACGGTAACGGTTCACGTGATATTCAAACGTCCAAATACAGCATATGATTGGGCATCTTCTAGAGAATACGTTAATCAATGCTAATGGTTACTTTACTCAACTGATACAAAATTATAGCACAGTTAATATAGACTTTAATTATATAAGACGGTTGTTTTTTCAACCCTCATATTATTTGACTTGTTGGCATTACCTTGGTCACTCCTTCGATAAAAGCCCTTGTGGCAAGTTCACCAGGTCCGTCTACTGTTTTGCCATCATCGTCTGGACCCCAAGAGGCACTGTATATGTCAATATGGTGGGGATTCAGACTGAGAGATCTAGCTTCAACCGCATCTGTAACGTCACCGTCTAGCATCCTCACACCTCCAACCTATAATGCATATCAAAAATTATATCTATTTAGAAAATATCGTTTTTAGAAAATTTGGAGGCAAATTCGAGAAACAACTACGCTTGAAATAACAAGCTGATAAGTATGAAAAGATTGGATAATTTCCAACGACCTGTCACATTCTGCGTATAAATACTGTTAGAATTTGCCGCCATTGGATTCAAAAACACAAAGACTCCGCAGAAATCTTATGGGGAATGGCTATCGGATAATTTTTCCAAACATTTAATATACTAAGTGACATATAAATCCGAACACCCAGTTTAAATGGTTTTATTTTAATAAAAGTTGGTGAATGTATTTATCTTACTATAAATAACAAGTGAAACATTTTTCAGCCTTATCAGTTGGACATTCCGGTTTTTATACTGCTTTTTTTTAATTCACTAACGCTCTAAAATGAATATTTCAGCCGCAGTAAAGAATCAACGTTGGCGGATTTTGGTTCTTGACATCCTTTACGATCGGTTACGATGCTTAGAGTACGGAGACCTGTACGATTTCGTCAACTTAGTGAGTTTGATAGGGGCCGTATAGTGGGACTTCGGGAAGCTGGACTTTCTTTTCGGGCAATTGCAGTTAGAGTGCAAAGAAGTGTAGATAGACACTGTGGTTAGGTGTTGTCAGGCATGGCTTCGAGAAGGCCGTACGCAAAGAGCAAGGGGCACTGGACGCCGCCGTAGAACAACAGACCGTGAAGATCGCCGCCTAAGATTATTGGCCTTAAGGGACCGTTTCTCCACTACCAGGTCCATTGCAAATGAATGGTTTGCAGAAAACGGAAGAGGCCTATTGGCATGCGAAGTGTTTACCGACGAATGACAAGTTTTGGCTTGTTTTCATACCGGCCACACTGGGTCCTCCCTTTAACTCGAGAACACCGACGTAATCGCCTTGAGTGGTACAGAGAACGGTCACTCTGGGATCAGGAATGGAACAGTATTGTCTTTAGTGACGAGTCTCGATTTTGTTTAGGCATGCACGATGGTCGTGCCAGGGTTAGAAGGCGACGTGGTGAAAGGAGGTTTGTTGAAAGACATGTTCATCACATTGTTGGAGTTATGGTTTGGGGTGCTATAGCTTATGGTTCCAGGTCACCTTTAATCTTCATCAGAGGTAACATGAACGCGCAGCGTTATATCCACGAAGTTCTAGAACCCCATCTTTTACCCTATCTTGACACCCTGGCAGATCCAACTTTCCAACAAGATAATGCCCGACCACATGTTGCAAGAGTCACAATAGACTTCTTTCAACATCACAACGTCCTCCTCAGACTCTAGAAGTACTTCGAGAGGAGTTGGTGGTTGCCTGGAATGAGATACCACAGGAGGATATTGACCACCTGATCAGAAGCATGCCTAGGCGCGTTGGAGAATGCGTAGCACATCAGGGTGCATCCACACATTATTAAAGGTCAAAGGGCTTTAAAGCAGTGCAATCATTTTGAAATTTTTGTCATTTACTTATTATGCTTCATTAAGTACTTATACAAAATTTTATTAAAATAAAACCATTTAAACTGGGTGTTCGGATTTATATGTCACTTAGTATATGTTGTAAATCTGAATACTTACAATAAAAGTGACCATGGTTTACATGAATAGTTTTGGAGTTACAGAGCGTCAAAGTTTGGCAGTCCATACCCAATTGCAGCATATTGTGAGAGCAAGAAAAAAATCCAAATTTTTCGGTGATTTGTGAAAAGCTATATTTTGGTGAAGCATGGTCGTATCAAGACTTTTAAAAAAGCATTTTGAAGCTTCAAGATTCTAATTCTTAGGTCTCTTAGTCGATTTTTTTTGCAAAGTTTTTGTCTTCTTTTTAGTCCATGTGCTTGAATTTTTTTTTCTGTTTGCCCATCATTATGGATCAGATAGCCCGTTTATTCAGCTTCCGTATTCTGTTTCTAAAATCTCGATACGATCATTTGGCGCGGATATCAAAACTATGTCGCCATGTATTTCGAAAACTACTCGTGGAAAAACATGGACATTTTTGTTTTACGTGTTAAGATCTAAAACATTCTAAATTAAAAAAATTGCCAAAATCCATTTCCCATAACGCTTCTTGGAAACTTTTTTCGTTAACTTTGTAGAATTCAGGGCTGTCAAGGTCATCTCGACGTTCGCGTTCCTACAAACGGTTTTGTACACCCTTGGCGCAGGATGGAAGCATAGCAGAAATATAAAGCCAGATCTTTAAGAACACCCTTTATAAGAAATATAATAACTTACCTGAGCACCATGTGCAACCCCCAAAGCGCATACAGAATTATTGCTTGTAGCTGCGACTTCACCAGCACATCTAGTTCCATGTCTATTGGAGTCAATCATATCATACCTAGGACTTGGATCAGAGTCTTGTCCGTTCACATCATACGATGCCAGGGGATCCTAGAAAAAATATCCGTTAGTATTAGAGTCCGAACATACGTAGTAGTTTTAGGAATAAACTGGAAACGATATCAAAAATCTGTTTTCGTGGCAAAATTGGTATGTTACTAGTGCATATTTCAAAATTATTTTGATATATACAGGGTGTTCCATAACATCGTGCCATAGCAAACATATATATTTTAAATACTATGATTTATTGCATATTTGGATAGAGCTTCTAGAAACAACAAGTTTGATATCATATAACATATGGTTTCGGTTGTCAATTGTTTAAATATTTAGTGAGATGTGAAGATGTTTCGATATTTAGATGAAAATCACAAAATTACTATTATTATCATCATCGATTTTAAGCTGATCTGAAAGAAATACTACATTTATCTTTCTATTTATATAGGGTATCTCAAAACGCAAAATATACCTTTTCGCTCTCTCTCTAAAATGGAACACTCTGTATATTTCTACATAATTAAATAGCTTTCCTTCGGAGGTTTTTTTTATATAAGGTTTATATCACTTTCTTCGAGTTATTGCCATCTATGCCAAGAAAAAAAAATATACTCCACATTTAGACTTTAAATCAGATCTTCTACAGGGTGACTTTGAAGTTGAGTCATTAATTTTCAGATAATGATTGTAGAATGAAGATAAACCAAAATATGTTTGTAAAAATAAAAAAAAATGTTACCTTGTTTTATAAAGTATCCTCCCGACAAGTATTTCAGTGCGGACCTGTATTTGATCGTGCGGTCTTGAAGCACCAGCATGCCCTCCCCTGTGAAGTCTTAAGTCACCTGATTCACGAGCCCTTTGTACTACATTAACAAAGGCACGAGGGGTTGGTTGTACTCGATTGAGAAACCGATTCGCACAAATCCGTGATGCCGCAGCAGCATTTTGTAAAGACTCCCCCCCCGTAAATCAGAATCATGTCCACAAGTTGAGCATTTTCGTAAACATGTGCCATTTTTCATTTCGTTTGAGCCACGCAACAAACACCACTATTCACTCACGCGTTACCGAATGACGAAAAACATCGTGATAAACGTTTCAAATTCTTTCGCTTTTTTGTTTCCGATGCGATGAACCGATATATCCGTTGTTGCCAAACACGAGCACATATTATTATTGAGACAGGGCGGTACTCAAACTTCTAAAGGGCTATAACTTTGTTACTTTAATTTTACCAGAAAAATGTTAAAGGAAAAAACATTTCTTTTGATCAGATCTACTCACTGTTAAAATAAATGACTCAACTTCGAAGTCACCCTGTATAAAAAAAATGAATTTCTTATCATTCATTATGAAATTGTTGTAATACATTCCAAGTAGTTCTGTTGATTCCCAGAAGTTTGGTGTCAGGTCCGGTATGTTGAAGGGCCACATGTCACTGATATTTAATAAAACCTAGCGGATCTCGGAACCGTATTTAGATCGCTGGCGCCCTAATACTTGGATAGGAAGAGGCAGATCGATCAATTGGCCAGCGAGATCTCCTGATCTGACACCTCTCGGCTTCTTTCTCAGGGGCCATATAAAAAAGCAAGTTTACCAGAAGAGACCTACAACACCCGAGGACATGAAACATCGTATAAGCGAGTCGTTTGAGCGGATATCTAGACAAATCGTTTTGGACCTGCAAGATAATTTCAACAGGCGTCTGGCATTGTGTGCTTTGAACCAAGGTAATATATTCGAACAATTCATTAACGATTGATTACTTTAGGCTGAGATTATTTGTGTTGTGTATTGCTTTCATAGAAGGTTTGATTTTATGTTTAAATACAATATGTATTTGTTTTTTTTAAATTAATAGCAATAACCCAAAAACGTTTGGAAAAAAGATATATAAGCCTTATATCAAAAAAAGTTTACCAAAAAAACTATTCAACGACGTAGAAATGTACATGTAATGTAAATGTATAAAATTTTTGAGAAAGGGCAAATTTTGCTTTTTGAGATACCCTGTATGAACAGATCATCTTAAAATCGATGATAATAAAATTTGTGTGAACTAAGATTTATCTCAATATCTTCAAAAATGGAGGATCTGCGAGCTAACCAAGCTGGACATTTTTTCAGAAGTTTGACCAAATATCTAAACAATTGACAAACGAAAGCATATGTTATATGTTATCAAACTTCTTGTTTTCAGAAGTTGCATTCAAATATGCAATAAAATATAGGGAATTCTATTTAAAAACTATATGTTTGCTGTGACACGAAGGTATGGAACACCCTGTATATATTAAAATAATTTGAAATATGCATTAGTAACATATCATGGTTGTCACAAGAACAGGTTTTTGATGTATTTTCCAGTTTACTCATAAAACTACTTTCCGTTTTCGTTGGGACACCCTGTATGTTGCGTCTTGACTAATTCTTTGTTACTGGGGTTAACGTGTGTTAGGCTCGTATTCTAGTATATTCTATTCAATAGAACAAATTAATGGATTACTGAATACATACGTAATTCTGTACGAGGTCAGGATGGTCCTTTTCTAAGCCGTCATCTAAGATTGTTACGACAGCGCCTTTTCCTGTAATGCCTTCCATCCATGCTGGAATTACATTCATATCTAGTCCTCCACCTCGATTCTAGAAAAAAGTGATAGCTTGAGATAATGGTATACAGGGTGATACTAAGTGACAGCTCGTAATTCCAAGGGCGCATTCCTGAACAAAATTTATTAAATTTATTATAAAAGTTTATAGAAACATGTGTCCTAAAAGTTAAGATTTTCGAGATGCATGGTCGAAATGCTTTTTTATTAACATCTCAATGATCCTTGTTCCGATTTTGTTGATTTTGGCAGCGATGTATATTGCAACAAGACCCTCAAGTTATCACTATTTAGAGGATAATAGAGGGTCAGCCTTACGAATTATATTGACAAAAAAAAGAGCAGCTGATGATACAACTTCTTTGTCTCTTAATATCACTTAGAATCTTACTTCGTTTTTGAAGAAAAAATAAAAACAACTTCATCGCAAAAATTGTTAAAATGTGAGAGCAGAACATGGGCCCCCTGGGAACCTGGTTGGACCTTAAGATTTGCATATTTAGCATGAGTGTGTGTAAAAATTTTGAATTTTAGGATTTGTTACTCCCCCCCCCCCAACATTCTTCAAAAAGTTTTGGGGTCAAGTAAAATTTCACAATCGGCCTCCTTGGGAAAAATTCCTGCTGGCGCCCACGGAGCAGAAGCCTGCAATGAAGCGGTATGTGATACTGATATGATATGGCTTGTAAATGAATGTAGTGCATCGATCAAATTTATTTCAACAATTTATCGACATGTAATGAAGTAGCTTTTATTTTTTGCTCGACAACGGAGAACGATACAAAGAGATACCAGGATCTTTATCTGCTTAATTCGAAAAAATATAGTTTCTTTTAAAAACCAGTGGCGTACATTTTCAAAATTATTCGTGAGACTGTCCCCCAATACGCCACTGGAATTCATAATTATATTCTAGTTAGTGCTAACATGGCATATTATTATAATAAATCAAACTACCCAAATTAAACAAAATGGGCACAAGGATCCTTGAGATATTAATAAAAAGTGAATCCGGTTGGACTATACAGAGTGTCTCAGAAGTCGACGACGAATTTGTCTTGCTGACATTACGTAGAATTAGAATGACACTGTCCGTCACTCCGTCTCATAAAAAAATTTGTAGTAATGGGAACTAAAAGACTATCTCAGGGTGTAGATTTTCGACTTTTTTAAAGCCAATAATTTGAAAAGTACACGAGTTTTTTTTATATTATTCTGATAACTTACTATTATGACTATTACATGTTTCAGGCTTTACGTTGATTTTTGGGAAATCCTGTATATTGGAAAGCATAACTGCGTAAATTCATCATGTTTGAGTCGTCGGACCAGCTAATTGCAGCACTACTTTTATCGGAGGTTTTATAAAAATTTTTGTCATATTAGCTTGCTATTCCATTAAAATGAGGTATATATTTATAACAAGTTACCTACTTGAAAAGGCAGCAGTTTCCAAAAAAAAAATAGATAAAAAGTTTGGCGGACTCACCAAAACGAAGCAGTATCCAAAGTTTCAAGTATATATTAATCATTCAACAATATGGGTTATGTATTGTGGACTAATGTTTCTTAAAACGGTTTCATTCTCCAGTGATGGCTCACATAGACATGTTGATACCAACGCAAGGGCCAACGTGTTCACACAAGCCTTTCCACAGAAGAAAGCGAACGATCTCTATGCCCTTAATACCGATATACGAGTATAGTTCTTTTATGGAGTATCAATTGATCTCTGATTAAAAGCGAGAAAAATCCTTTGAATCTAGACTCACCAAGTACCACATAAAAGGCCATTTTGGATCGCTGTCTTGTACTCGATAGTCCCTTTTGATTCTTCGTTTTGCCTTCTGCTGTTTGGCCCATTTTATCCTGGTATCGACAGCCAAACTAACCCTCTTCTCCGAATTCGGTGTCAAAGATCTTTTCGCAATTTTTGAGTAGGTGAAGTGGTAATGATCGCCAAATATCTAGAAAAAAGAGATACATACATATCAATATTTGTGACGTTATGTGCTTTTTGGTTCACTCAATTTGAAAATTGGAAGATGGAAAACGTTAGGAGGAGATGTTCGATCTATCTGAGGCTTTTAATATGCTGGATAAAAATATAATTTTAGATAAATTAGAATCACTAGGTTGGAGAGTCATATATTGAAATTGTGTGTTAGCTATGTAAAGCAAAACGTCAACGATTTCAACATACAAAATGAACATCACAACTATAAGACAAGAAATTCGGTTTTGATAGCAAATCGTTTTATAACTATGGCATATACGAAGTCACCTCAATTCAACTACATATATCGAGATCTGTGAGATTTGGAGAGCTACATCAAATTTAAAAATAAGGTTATTAAGTATCTAAGTGATAAATATTTTTACCCTGCAATTAAACTTTTCGAATCAGTAAGCAATACGTTTTTATTTAAAAAGTTTTATGTAGTGAACAACAAGCTATCTTACCATTTAAATGGTTTTATTTTAATAAAATTTTGTATAAGTACTTAATGAAGCATAATAAGTAAATGACTAAAATTTCAAAATGATTGCACTGCTTTAAAGCCCTTTGACCTTTAATAATGTGTGGATGCACCCTGATGTGCTGCTACGCATTCTCCAACGCGCCTAGGCATGCTTCTGATCAGGTGGTCAATGTCCTCCTGTGGTATCTCATTCCAGGCAACCACCAACTCCTCTCGAAGTGCTTCTAGAGTCTGAGGAGGACGTTGCAAATTGAGCAATCTCCTACCCATCATATCCCACACGTGCTAAATTGAGGATAAGTCGGGAGATCTTGGTGGCCATGGTAACAATGTGACATCATTATGTTGAAAGAAGTCTATTGTGACTCTTGCAACATGTGGTCGGCCATTATCTTGTTGGCAAGTTGGATCTGCCAGGGTGTCAAGATAGGGTAAAAGATGGGGTTCTAGAACTTCGTTGATATAAGGCTGCGCGTTCATGTTTCCTCTGATGAAGATTAAAGGTGACCTGGAACCACAAGCTATAGCACCCCAAACCATAACTCCAACAGTGTGATGAACATGTCTTTCAATAAAAAACTGTGGATTCCTCCTTTCTCTATGTCGCCTTCTAACCCTGGCACGACCATCGTGCATGCCTAAACAAAATCGAGACTCGTCACTAAAGACAATACTGTTCCATTCCTGGTCCCAGAGTGACCGTTGTCTGCACCACTCAAGGCGATTGCGTCGGTGTTCTCGAGTTGAAGGGAGGACCCAGTGTGGCCGGTATGAAAACAAGCCAAAACTTCTCATTCGTCGGTAAACACTTCGCATGCCAATAGGTCTTCCGTGTTCTGCAAACCATTCATTTGCAATGGACCTGGTAGTGGAGAAACGGTCCCTTAAGGCCAATAATCTTAGGCGGCGATCTTCACGGTCTGTTGTTCTACGGCGGCGTCCAGTGCCCCTTGCTCTTTGCGTACGGCCTTCTCGAAGCCATGCCTGACAACACCTAACCACAGTCTCTACACTGCTTTGCAATCTAACTGCAATTGCCCGAAAAGAAAGTCCAGCTTCCCGAAGTCCCACTATACGGCCCCTATCAAACTCACTAAGTTGACGAAATCGTACAGGTCTCCGTACTCTAGGCATCGTAACCGATCGCAAAGGATGTCAAGAACCAAAATCCGCCAACGTTGGTTCTTCACCGCGACTGAAATATTCATTTTTAGAGCGTTAGTGAATTAAAAAAAAAAACAGTATAAAAACCGGAATGTCCAACTGATAAGGCTGAGAATTTTTTCACTTGTTATTGACAGTAAGATAAATACATTCAGCAACTTTTATTAAAATAAAACCATTTAAACTGGGTGTTCGGATTTATATGTCACTTAGTATACTACTACTAATCTCAATTGAGATTTTTAAAAAATCTTATTTTCAGTGTAAATGCCTTGAATTTTCTTTTATACCGAAGCAGCCTCGCAGGAGAAGCTTAAATGCCAGACTACCGCAGCTGCTATGAGGATCCCAAAGAAATTTTGTTAACCTGATCCTTGAACTGCCCAAGGTTAGTAGATCTGGGAAAAGCTTCCTCTTGTAGATTGTTCCACAATCTCGACACCCTTGGGACAAAGGAGCGATCGTATCGACCAGTTCTGGATAAACGAAGTTCGACACGGTTTGTACGGGAGGCCGAAGTCAGGCGGGTTTGTATGGCAGGCACATCGCGCGGCGACATCATGGACGAGAGCTCTGAGGATCAAAGCCAGTTGGTGTAGAAATGACAATTTACTTCATTATTTTTCAAAATTATAGTCTAAAATAATAAAACTGAACAATAAGATGCTTGAATTTGATACTAAAATTTATGAATTCCTTGCGGGAAGAATTACGTGATACTTGCCAAGATGCCTCCCCTCCTCCACGTGAGATTGGGTGAGATTCGACTCGACTTCGATGGAAAAAATAAATAATATAAATTGAATACAGTTTTATTGCAAGTGGATTAGTGGCGTAATCCTCATAACGGCTTTTTGTATTTGGTGACACGATATATGGTATGTTTCTAAGCACCTGATTACAGGGCGTACTTACGTGTGCCTCATGCTTATCGAAATGGACAATTTTCTTTGTTTGCAAATTACTGTTGTCTTTTAAATATCGATAAGTAGAAATTGCAAACTACGGTAGCTGATTTCAATATTATGCTTAGTTACCAGGCTGAAAAAAATATCAGTCTGTCGATTTACCTCAATAAGTTCATATAAACATAGCATTAGGTAGCCAAATCAGAGCCTGAATTCCACTTATCCACGCGAATGAAACTGGGTACACAGGCAATTTGAGGCGCTGATTTTAAATATGACGATGTTGTCAAATATTCTGATTCGGATTTTTTGCATACCTACTCTTATCCAAAAAGGACCTGTTTTAATGAATGTACATGGTTGCCTGGTCCAGAATCGCGTAAAAAATGTCAAAAACAGGTGCTTTTCTCTAAAGATGATAGTTCAACCCGAAAAACAGACGCAAAACAAAAAATGTTGCCAGATTCCTAAATATTTTTCAAACATCCATTAGCAAAATCCCAAAGCATTCCAATGGTACTGTCACTGTGAACCTTTGTTTTTCAATTGTTAAAAAACGGGCGCTCAGTGTATACTCTGCGTGAGCGCGAGAGAAATGCAAAATCTCTGTCTCACTCACGCAAAAAATAGATTGAGCGCGCTTCCAATACGCAGGCATTGCGCTCTGACAAAATCATCCTACAGAGTATCTTAAAGTGTGGGTAACGATAATTCATGTTGATTTAGTCTACGGGCTGAAATACTTTTGTGTGCCTAAAAATCGGTCCCCTGAAATGTAATCTACTTTTTGGGCGAACCGTAAGCAATTTGTACAAAAATGACAATGATTCGTTAATATAACACTGTGGGTTAATCAAACTACAACATGAAATTTAACTAAAATTTTATATTTATTGGAAATTTTTAGTAACATTGTTGTCTTTTCCAGTAACGCATCAGTTTTCCATACAAAATATTACTGTCCCTACACATCAGTCTCATGATATAGAGACCAGCCTCGCGTATTCTCTGCTAGATGGCCTTTCATGAAAATTATGCTCAAAACTACTTCATTCAACCTTGTTTAGGGCTCCAATAGATACGATTTACTTTGAACGTGAAACGAAATAAAAAATATTTTATATTGTGTCCCCAGCAAAGCACAAAATCTTAACTACCCTGAGTTTCTATGTGAAAATAGAACTTAAAATAAGTGTATCGCTAAAACATGTACCTCATTCCATTTGACTTGATGTGACTATTAATTCGAGCAGTGGCCGTTAGGTAAGCTCACTCAGCGAATTGAAGTAGTCGCTTGACAGCCATTATAAGAGATGCGTGTGTTAATTGTGCGAATGCTGAGTTACCGTCAAAGAAATGTAAGTAAAGCTGATATTTGATTTATGAATTTGTGATTACATAGTCATTTAGGTATATTCTCCAATGCCGATAATGAAATTGCTTTGGGTTGTGTGATTGAGTGCAGACAAATGAAATAATCAAAAATTGACCACTGCGTTACTGCTACACTGCGTTACCAAAAAAAGTAACGCAGTTGTTTCGCTAGTAACACAGCTGTTTTAGGTGCACTAGTGGAACCAAAATACCCATTCGACACTCCTTTGATTTTAGAAAGAAGTTTATCAACGAAATGGCTCTGACACCAGCGGAAAAGCAGCGTCGGTATAGGCTGAAGTTGAAGCTGGACCCGTAAAAAATGGTGAAGCTAAAAGAAAACACCTTGAAAGATACCACGCCAAAAAAGAACTAGTGAAAGATATGACTGAGCAAGAGCATAGAGCTGCTAAACGTAGATGGAAGATTGCAAATAAGAAACGACGAGAACGACAAAAAGCTGCACACCACGTTCAGGAACTCCAGATTCTCCCAGGTGTAGAGGCCGGTAACGGGTGAGGCGCGACCGATCTGCGTTATATAGACAGAATGTGAAATTACAGGAAGAACTGGAAAGACTAAAAAAGATGTGTAATAAGTACAAGAAGAGGTATCAAAGGGCTAGACAGCCCAGGATCAATCCTGATAACAATAAATATTCCACATTATCAAATGCTATTAGGGTTCATTACAAAAAGGACTGACAACAGTAAAAGAAAAGAGAGCTCTAAGACAAGTTTTCCAAAAATGAAGACTGCTATTGTGCGTGAGACTTTGGGCATTGACCAGCTAAAACGAAAGCTGACTCTCTCTAAGAAATCGGACCTTGTTGGAAAAATCAAGGAGTTCTTTAATCGCGACGATGTTTCTAGAGCTACAGCGGGAAAGCGAGAAACTGTAACCTACAAAAAAGTAAAAAGTCAAAAACGATATTTACTGGACACAATGAAAAACCTTTACTGTTCATTCAAGAAAGAGTTTATAGGTGAGAGATGTTCATATTCATACTTCATAAGACATCGACCGTTCTATGTAAAGCCGCCTACAGTTGGTGGTAGAGAAACTTGCCTATGCAAGTTACACACTAACACGCAGTATATAATAAAT